CCAGCCTGGGCAAGAAGAGTGAAACTCCATCTCAAAAAAATAAAAAAAATTGGCCAGGTGCGGTGGCTAACACCTGTAATGCCAGCAGTTCGGGAGGCCAAGGCAGGCAGATGGTTTGAGCTCAGGAGTTTGAGACCAGCTTGGGCAACATGGCAGAACCCCATCTCTACAAAAGGTACATAAATTCTAACAGAGTGTGGTAGCTCACGCTTGTAGTCCCAGCTGCTTGGGAGGCTGAGGCAGGAGGATTGCTTGAGACCGAGACGTGGAGGCTGCAGTGAGCCGTGATCGTACCACTGGGAGATGGATGGAGCGATCGTACCCCAGCCTGGGTGACAGAGGGAGACCTTGTCTCAAAAAAAATAATAATTTAGGGTTCTCTAGCTTTTTACCAGGTTATCTCATTTCTTCTGTGTGGAGGATGGATACAAATTATGTGTTGACTGATGCAAAGTAATAGCACAAAGCAGTACCCTCTGACGTTGCGGTAGTTGGTGTGTCACCGTTTCCAGAAAGGTTGGATTTTGTAACTTTGAATCCCGAGAGTGGGAGTCTTGGCTGTTTCTGGACTGTAGAGTGAGAAGAGACCGAGATGTGGTGATGGCAGGCCAAGTGGAGGGTCATAGAAGGTGCTGTTTGTGAGGCGCCACGGTGTTTCTAAGCTACACTTCTTTATTCAGCAAAAACGCGGATTCAGAAAGGCACCCGGGAAGGTTGAACCTCGAAGATTAGACACAGGGACAAGTGGTGAAGCATATAAGAGACGTGCTTTGATTCCTCCCGTGGAAGAAACAGCCCTTTATCCTTCTCTCTGTCCTGTAAGGACTCTCATAACACCATTATTTTTTACTGCTGGGGTAAGAGCGCATTTGGCTAGGAGTTACCCACCTTGCTACAAATGCAGTGTTAAAATACTTTGTCCCATTTGGGCTCCTTTAAAGTAAGGACAGGTGGAGGGGGATCAAGAGGAGCTGGGCTCATGAGTTCTGATTATAGAGTCTGAATTTCAGACTTGCTTTTAGAATCTGGCTCACTATGTAAGCCTTAGAGAATAAACTTATGGGCCTCATTTGGTACAGCATTTCAAGTGGTGCTAAGTTGGTGTTTTCAGTTTTATTTGAGGATTTATAGCTGGAAACAGGCCCCAGCGTACTGTGAAGTCAATAAAATGGGAAACAATAAAATGTCCTTTCGGGCGGGGCATGATGGCTCATGCCTGTAATGCCAGCACTTTGGGAGGCCGAGGCAGGTGGCTCACCTGAGTTCAGGAGTTCGAGACCAACCTGGCCAAAGTGGCAAAACCCCATCTCTACTAAAAACACAAACTTAGCTAGCCGTGGTGGTACGCACCTGTAATCCCAGCTACTTCAAGGCTGAGGCAGGAGAATTGCTTGAACCCGGGAGGCGGAGGTTGCAGTGCACCGAGATTGCACCACTGCACTCCAGCCTGGAAGATGAGCAAAACTCCGTCTCAAAAAAAAAAAAAAAGTCCTTTTCACTTATTAGATTTCACTGTGCCAGGTTTTCCTTCTGTTGGTTTATCAAAAGCAATGAAAATGAAGTATTGCCCTTGGAAATATGTATAGATCTATTTCCCTTTTAAATTTTTTAATATTTCTAATTTTATATAGTTGACAGGCTGTGCATTTGAATCAGCTGCTATTTGGTAATATGAATCACTGAAATCCAGGGTCCAGAGTTATTTTGATGCTATAAAAGCTGATTGGGTGGCTAGCATTTAGAAGGAAGAAGGAGATTTCAGAAAGGAGGTGAAGATAAACACCGCTTTCTTTGTTCTAGCTAATCACGATTTTAAAAAACTGATACATAATAGATGCACATTTTCAGTGTACATGATGCGTACACATAATGTGTAGTAATTAAATCTGAGTAATTGGAATATCACCTTAAACATTTATCTTTATGCTAGGTGCATTCGAATTATTCTTCACTAGCTATTTTGAAATACACTATAGTTTACTGGAGTTACTCAACTGGCAATCCCAAGTTTTGAAGTCTGGTTATTTATGAAGTGCTTTTAGTTAATGGCAACATCAGATTAATAGATGTCAAGTCGGTGCACTAATATTCTTCACAGTAAGTATGTATTACTGTTTTATATGTCTGGTGTTGTATTTGACAGTGACCCAAGAATTCTGGCCCTCTAACCCACGTGCATCCAAGATCACCTCAGATGGTTGTCAAAAATGTTAATGTCAGCCAGGCGCAGTTGCTCAAGTCTGTAGTCCCAGCGCTTCAGGAGGCTGGTGCGGTCAGGAGCTCGAGAGCAGCCTGGCCAACGCAGTGAAATCCCATCTTTACTAAAAATACAAAAATCAGCTGGGTGCGGTGTTGCACACAGTAGCTGTAGCCCCAGCTACTCTGGAAGCTGAGGCAGGACAATCGCCTGAAACCAAGAGGTGGAGGCTGCAGTAAGATGAGATTGTGCCACTGCACTCCAACCTGGGTTGACAGAGTGAGACTTTGTCTCCAAAAAAAAAAAAAAAAAAAAATTGGCCAGTGTCGTGGGTCATGCCTGTAATCCCAGCACTTTGGGAGGCTGAGGTGGGTGGATCACCTGCGGTCAGGAGTTCGAGACCAGTCTGGCCAACATGATGAAACCCTGTCTCTACTAAAAATACAAAAATTAGCTGGGTGTGGTGGCATGTGCCTATAATTCCAGCTACTCAGGAGGCTGAGGCAGGAGAATTGCTTGAACCCGGGAGGCAGAGGTTGCAGTGTGCCAAGATCACACCACTGCACTCCAGCCTGGGTGACAGTGACACTGTCTCCAAAAAAAAAAATTAATGTTAATAGTAGTTAATGTTTCTGTGTGGAGGATGTCTCAGCTCTACTAAAGTTTAAAGACCACTGTTACACTTGAATCACCTTGCTGAATTACTTTAGAGCAGCAGTCCCCAACCTTCTTGGCACCAGGGACTGGTTTCATGCAAGACAATTTTTCCACAGATTAGGGTTGCAGTGGGGCAGATGGTTTTGGGATGAAACTGTTCCACCTCAGATCATCAGGCACTAGCTTCTCATAAGGAGCGTGCAGCCTAGATCCCTCGCATGTGCAGCTCACAGTAGGGTTTGCGTTCCTATGAGAATCGAATGTAGCTGCTGATCTGACAGGAGCCAGAGTGCTCCTGGTAATTTTCACCCCTCTCTGTGGCCCGGTTCCTAACAGGCCATGGACCACTACTGGTCAGCAGCCGGGGCATGGTGAACCCCGGCTTTAGGGTACATATTTGAACTGCAGAGAATTTTTCAAAATACACATGCCTCAGGGGGAGAGTTACCAAGTGATTTTTTTTTTTTTTTTAAGAGACAGGGTCTCACTCTGTCACCTAGGCTTCCGTGCAGTAATGCAATCATAGCTCACTGAGGCCTCAAACTCCTGGGCTTGAGCAGTCCACCCGCCTCAGTCTCCTGAGTAGCCGGGACTGCAGCCATGCGCCACCATACTGGGCCAATTATTTCATTCTGTGGAGACAGGAGTCTCACTTTGTTGCCCAGGCTGGTCTCAGACTCCTGGCCTCAAGTGATCTTTCCACCTTGACCTCCCAAAATGCTGGAAATCTACAAGCGTGAGAAACCGTGCCTCTCCCCAAGAGGAGTTTTAAATGTTTGTCAGTGACGTGATATTTACATCCCTGTGGTAAATACCTGCTGTTGAGTGTTTCTGTGCTCAAGATGAAATATAAAAATAAAATAAGAAATACGGAGCTTTTAGAGCTTTCATTTACTTTATGTGTGAGTTGATGGCCCTCTTATTTCTTAACTGATTTCTTAACCATGTTCGCTTTTAGATGAAACATAGAAATATTTCTTTTTTTTTCTTTTTCTTTTTTTTAATATAAATCTTTCTTTTACTTACCAATACATATTGAACACTGAGACTGTAGTTAATATGTGGTTTCTGGCCTATTTAGTTCTGAGCACTTTTGGTTTTTATGACACAATAGCCCTTCCAATCTGGAGAGTGGGTTTATCTTTACATTTCCCCTTCCTGGGAGCAATGTGGTCCTGGCCAGCAAGAGCCTGGGAAGGAAGCCTTGCGTTTTCTTTTTACTAATGATGGTTTGAGTTTTCTCTAAGTAGGGAAAGGAATTCACTCCTCCTTGTTTGCGCATGGGCACATTCAGGAAGCGTGAGCCCTGTCTGTGTTAGAGAGGCTTTATGCCAGAAGAACGGTGGATAATATTTGCAGACGAAAATGACAATAACTGTGGAGTTTCATTCAGTACAATGTATTTGAGAAGATAGTAAAACTGACCTAGTGCATTATCCTGCAACTCTTAGAAAGTTAGAGGTTGGGCCGGGCACGGTGGCTCACGCCTGTAATCCCAGCACTTTGGGAGGCCGAGGCGGGTGGATCACGAGGTCAAGAGATCGAGACCATCCTGGTCAACATGGTGAAACCCCGTCTCTACTAAAAATACAAAAAATTAGCTGGGCATGGTGGCGCGTGCCTGTAATCCCAGCTACTCAGGAGGCTGAGGCAGGAGAATTGCCTGAACCCAGGAGGCGGAGGCTGCGGTGAGCCGAGATCGCGCCGTTGCACTCCAGCCTGGGTAACAAGAGCGAAACTCCGTCTCAAAAAAAAGAAAGTTAGAGGCTTCCAGCACATGTCTGCACATGAAGTTTTGATATCCAAATGTACCCAGGTGGTTTTTGAGAGTGGTGAAAATGACACAAACAGTATACGTAATCTTCCTTTAAAGACTAATTTGTTTATGATGGAATTAAACTAATGATAGGTTTAATGTATAAAACCTATGACCGTTAAAGAAGATTGATACTATATTTAACTTGAAAACGTGAATGTCCTGGGAACCCCTTTTGTACCACTCTGTATGAAGTAAGATCTGGGAGCTCATACACAGTGTAATTGTAATCATAGAAATGTAATCTGCGGGGTGTGGTGGCCCACACCTGTAATCCCAGCACTTTGAGAGGCCAAGGTGGGAGGATTACTTTGGCTTAGGAGTTCAAGACCAGCCTTGGCAACATAGGGGGACCCTGTCTCTTAAAAAAAAAAAAAAAAAAAAAAGGAATCATGCATACTAATCTGTGATTTCTTTTACCTTGGATTTTTATTTTTAATAAAGTGTGGTTTGATTTCATAGTTAGAATCTATTTTTTATTTTAAAACTTGAATCGTAGAAAATTTCAAGCGGATACAAAAGTAAAGAGAATAGCGTGATGAATCATTATCATCCGGCTTCAGTGTTTACCAACACAGGGCCAATTTTGGTTTTCATCCATTTCCCGTTTTTCCCTTCCGTTTCATTGTATTATGGTAAAGCAAATTCTAGACATATTTCATCCATAAAATTTTCAACATGTAACCCTGAAAAATTAGGACACTCCTCTTTTTACTAAACTCCAATACCATTACCAGATCTTTAAAAAAGCACAATTTAGTAGACAATATTCTCAGAATTTTAAAACATAGGACCTTGGTATGAATAATCACTTCCTGGGTACCTGTCTGTATCTGTGAGTGTGCTAAGGGCTTGACATTATTGTCACTCCTCGTGACAACACTGGTAGGTATCTATTACTGTCCCGTTTCATGTGTCAGGAAACTGAAGTTTAGAAGTAATTGTCTGTGTTCAGAGCTATCCAGTGGTTCTGTATGGAGAATGTGGGCTGCCTGATAAAACACATCCTTTTTCCACTCTACCACGTATTTATTTATGTCTGTGGTCACCAGTGATTGTTTACAGAAGAGAAAGTCCTCCTTTATGTGCAAGGCATTTTATTTTCTTCTGGTTTTTCATTTCTGTAGCCTGAAATCTCTCACATATGGTGATATACGATTTTCCATCTGTTTTAGATTAACAAGTGATGGAATAACCTAAGTGGTGGCCAGCGGGCTGTGACAGGTTTGTGTTAGCTTGCACGTTTTACCCCTTCAAAGGAAGAGGAATCAAACCAAAAGGAACAGCATGTCACAGGCGACGGCTTTAGTTCCACGCTCAGCAGTGGTGTAGAAGACTCTGTACCTGTAGGCGAATGTAATAGCATATAAAGTGGTGAGGGGTGAAGGTGTCCATGATGCTGTGGGTCAGTTACTTTCTCATTTTGATCGAGTATGATACTGATGGGTTAGTTTTGTTGTAGAATACCAGCTTGTGGAATAGCTTATTACTAATGATTACTTCCCTTATGAAAGAAACTAACGGAAACATTAAGCACTGCAGGATGCTGTAAAACACATTCTGTCCCTACCCAGAGTCGCTTCAGGGTAGCTGGCTCCCTTTTTACCGATGAGGAAACTGACTTTGAGAGAAGGAACTTTTGAAGGTCAAACTGCTAGTCAGCAGTAGAGCGGAGCTTCAAAACCCAAGTCTGTCTCATTCCAAAGCCAGTTTTCTCTCTTCTCCCCCAGGCTATTTTTAAGACCCTGTTTAAATGGAAGCATGACATGCATGTCATCATAATAATTTTTTTTCTTTATAAATTATTAGGGAAAGACAGTTCTGGCTCTTCAAGGTAACACCTCTGCAGTATTTTACGGACTTAGTTATTTGAGAAACTTGAAAATAGATTTTTGCTAGGAACAGTGGCTCACACATGTAATCCCAGCACTTTGGGAGGTTGAGGTGAGCGGATCACCTTGAGCTCAGGAGTTCGAGGCCCGCCCGGGCAACATGACAAAACCCTGTCTCTACCAAAGTACCAAAAATTAGCTGGGTGTGGTGTTGCACCACTGTGGTCCCAGCTACTTGGGAGGTTGAAGGGGGAGAATGACTTGAGCCTGGGAGGTAGAGATTGCAGTGATCTGTGGTCACACCATTGCACTCCAGCCTGGCTGACAGAGTGAGACTCAAAAAAAATTTTTTTAAGTTTTTTAATGATTGCGTAGATAAGAAAAAATTATTTCTAGAGAATTGTA